ATTATTATTATTATTATTATTATTATTATTACTATAATCATATCATTACCACCAGTCTCATTAGCAGAGACATACCCACACACCATTCCACATCTCATATACAAACACAACTCCTACCCATCCATCCATCACCATCATATAACTTATACTGTTGCTCAAATAATAGGTGAACACAGACTAAACACGACCATCCCAAACCCATCAGCAAGTCAGCAATGAAATACACCACCATGCTGAACCGATATCAACTCGACTATCAAATACACGACCATACCGAACCCAATAACAAATCACTAAGCAAATACACCACTATCCCGAACCCAACAGCAATTCACCAATCAAGGACACGACCAACCACACCAAACACGAGAACACGTCAACAATGAAATACACCACCGATCTGCGCACTTATTAACCAATGAATGAAGTGTCACTTATCAGTTGATCAATCTGCTGATCAGTCAATCAATCGACCACTTGTAATTGCCGCCAGATCAACACTGCCCATTGCAGTTGCCGCCAGATCAACACCGCCCACTCAGTACACATTCTAATCGCGCAACGATTCCATTGCCATTTCAAAACAAAATTGCTCCTCACCCAACGCACAATATAATAATCTACAATGACTATAATAACAAACTGACTTTTTTGATGCGCCAGTAGTATTGTAAAGAGGTCGCGGCGCTTGAGTTCGGTGCTCACTTGAGTTCGACGAATCTGAAACAATTAACTGCAATTAAGCTTGGATTGCTCATATCGTGTAAAAATAACAATGAGCCGAATAAATACCTAGAAAACCAACACTGCGTGAGCGTTCCACCAGTGCAGGTGAGTGGTTATGCCGTAAAACACCCGCCGACGGTATACGACGATTTGACTGAGTTGTTGAGCGGCGACACTCTGAAAAACAATCGGATCACATAAATAATTGCAACAAGCCAACAATAACAGCAATATACTCAACAATATATTTAGAATAAATAATGAACAACAACGATGCGAACAGACTGCCTTGGCTGCCTAGGCTAATGAACTGATCAGCTAAAGTGAGCTAGCTCAGCCAACATCTCAGCAGCAGCCAATAAACACTGGCTGTATTGTGTTCACTGGAGATGATAGGAGCACACCTCCCTCCCTCCCTAAACCTTTACACGTTATCTACTGTTTTGTTACTCATCCACAGCACTCTAATATAACTAGCTCAAGTTATAACTAGCTTAAAGAAACAGAATTCATACACAATGAACTTTGTAAATTCCTTTCTAATCTAAATTCCTCTATCTAAAAATAACACGCAGCAACCGTAAATCATCACCATCCGTAAACCGCCTCTCTGCTTGCCTGCTAACAGACACGCACACACACACACACAGAAACTTAACCTAACCTAACGTTCAAGAAGTTCGATCGCTTCAATTGATCGACATTATGACGACGTTCAACAGGTTGTGTAGGTTGATAGCTAGGCATACACACGTACAAATCAGAGACTAGGCAAAGCAGTTACAGCCAATATAACCAAGCCAGACCTGCTCGCCAAGCGAACAATAACAATAATAATATTATTATTATCCACAACAAGTAATACAGGTAGGCGGTTATTGCTTTCAGATCTACTGCTTCGGATCGGATGATAAAATCGCTGAATTCACATGAACGATTTGATGACATAGACACAGAGCAGAGCTGCTGCTGCTGAATCACTGCTTTGATCACAAATAACAATAATATGAGTTACGACAATACTAGCGATATGACAATCATTTTTGTAATCACCTACACTGCTCATATGATCCATAATCACTATTTTAGTTCATCTAAAAACTTGTGCATAAAAATTCGTTCACATTGTGCAACATCATCTCGTCAAATAGCAAACAACAAATTCAAAAATATACCTACGATGTGGAGGCACTAGTATGAGTTATCACATTAATATTATTATTCTCATTATTGTTACACTTCACATCACTTCAGCTCTATTCTATCATATCAGCAAGACAACAGACACACAACGAACGAACACAACCAACATCAAATTGATGAGCATAAAACAAAACACTCACTAATTCAATATAAGATAATAATCTAAACGAATCTAAACATAAAAAGCACACTAAACTGCTTAAAGTTCACTCCTAAATGCTAAAATCTTTCAAAGTAACAACAATTTTCTACTCAAATCATCCAGTTTTCAACAACTGAACCACGACCACTTTCAAATAAAATTCTATGTTCAACCACGATCACATGTTTCCACTCAAATTTTCTTCTTTTTAAAATCTTCCTTCCAGGTGTTCCACTACTTCCATTCACTCAAATATGCCACCCGTCTCAAAGAATTGGCTACCTTCTTTTCGTTTTCGCTTACTAAAAGATACTCAACAACACCAATAAAAAATAAATAAACAACAACAAATCCAGGCTTTGGATATGGTATCGAGGCAAATAGAACGACAGAAAGAAGGAAGATAAATTGCAATTAAACAAAACAAACAATGCAGCAATATACCACGAGATTGAACGAGATCCACTAGGGCAGTATGTTCGTTTGGTGATGATCGTTGATCAGCAATCAGATGTGCATTTTGCTCGATAAAACGTTGCAGAGCACGTTCTTGTGAACGCGACAACTCGTGTCGATTCAACAGCTCACAGCTTGTCGTCATTAACGCCTGAAAATCACTAGATCAACTCAACCAAAACATTCCACCAAATATAATTGTTGCCTCTCGTTATTGCTGCCGCTGCTGCTGCTAGAAGACCCAAGGCTTAGACACACAAAAACAAAATTTCTTCACGATTATAACACAAAATAACAATGCACTCACATTTTTGGGATGCATCCCCGATCTAATGCTTCGTCTGGCTTCGTTTCACGTGCACAGTCGAATCGCCCAATCTCCAATCGACCGTTGCCTATTTATGCACCAGCCGTCGACACCACCCGGCTGTTTATTATCCAACTGAACTGAACAACCGACCAACCAGCCAGCCAGTCGCCACACCGCACCGATGATGACTTCTGCTTTCTGCTTCTACTAGTGCTCCTCGCACTTGCAGTGTTTCCACGTTCGAGCGTCTTCCTTCTATAACT